AAAAGAAAAAAGAAAAAAAAAGGTTTCAACTTCTCAGTTAATACTTAGAGCTTCAGTTCTCTCCACTGTACTATAATAAATTCACACAGAAGAGAAAGAAAAACAAGAAAAAGAAAGAGGAAGAACTCCTGCATCAAAATAAACAGAAACGGGAGAGAGGTCGAAAATACACGAAAACTATACAGCCGGTCAACACGATGATGAACTTGCCTACCCCCGTGCCACCTTCTTTTCGAAAAGATACTTTTTTTTTTTCCTTTACCAAAACAGCTTGAGCGCAATCGATCAAAAGATATGCTAAACTGGTATGACATCAATCTTTGAAGTGTCCTCACAACTCAGAACAATGCCTTCGAGACTCGCAGGAAGTATGCATTTACTCCACTGACATCCGGTCGAGAATGGCTCGGGTGGGGGTACAATCATTAACACGTTCTCATTCCTTTGCACGACTCCCATTACACTCACAGTGCTGCCTTCTTTAATGTACCTGATAATGTAGATTTAAAGAAAAGAAGAATAAGCTCAGATTATTACGAATAAGCAAAAGAGGCCAAATGATGCACATTTTTTTTCCAATGCTTCGGTGTAAATAACATCAGTCACATTAATACATCACAAGCAGAGATTATGTCGATGATGTAGAGTGGACCTTGTCGCCCATTTCATGGCAATCTAATTTTTAAAACTCAACCTTGAAGTTCAGCAAAATAACGAAAGGAAAAGTTCCCAGTTCGAAATGGTGTAGCCGTGTAGGTGTGTTCTTGGTTCGTTTTTGTGAATTGTAATTATCTGAACCTCGAGTAATTTTTGTAGATAATTTCAATTACACCGCAAAATTTAACATTTTTCTCTCATGATTTACAGAAGATAGAACTAGGGTGAGCAAAACCGAGTTGAAACCGAAAAACCGAGCCGAACCGTGCAATTTGGTGCGGTTAGGTTCTGTTTCGGTTAGGTTTTTTGCGGTGCGGTTATAGTTTTTTTACAAGTTCGGTTTTCGGTTTGGTTCGGTGCAATTTTGCATTGCACCGAACCGCACCAAATTGAATAAAATGTATAAAAAAATCACAATACAACAAAAAAAACCGAGCCGAACCGTGCATTTCGGTGCGGTTTGATTCAGTTATTTCAATGTAAAATAAAAATTCTGTTGGGTAATTTTCTAAATTGCGGTGCAGTTTGGTTATTATTATTTTTTTATAGGTTCAATTTTCTACTTTTTGCGGTTCAGTGCGATTTTTATTGAACCGTACCATTGCTCGCTCATAGACAGAACACATCAACATGCAATAAACAAACATAGTGTGACACACACACACACACAAAGATATGTGTGTGTGTGTGTGTGTGTGTGTGTGTGTGCGTGCGTGTGTGTTTATAGTGAGAAAGAAAATTAAGGGATGACGAAAATGTACCCTTCTTTGAGTCTCATTACGCGGTCATCACTCGAGAGGTTCCTCTCTCCCAACCACCTAACAAAATCAGGAGACATATCCTTGTTGGACGGGTTAATGTCGACCACCACAGATTCATCCACGTACGGTGTCACTCTTGCACCATACCCAGTTTTCACCAATGCCCTCAACCCAGATTGGAAGTCCGAAATATAGAAATCAACAATGTGCTTCTGCACTCGGATAAAATAACAATCATTTCCAGAATTACTTCAAATTAAAACCAGAAATCACGATACATTAACATGCCAATTGGCATTTAAAAGATTCCACTAACAGGGAAAAGGAAATGAAGAAAAAATAAAGGAGAGTTGCATAATTTTATTCATATCACAGGATGCTAAAGCCCCAATGCATTCAAATGGGTCGACAATTCCAGTCAAACAAAATTGCACGAGTACATATATACATGCATTCATAGAAAGATGAAATCAGAGCTTAGCAAGCGCAAAAGCTACAATCTGACACACATGTGGTTTTCTTTTTTGGTTATATGTTTTCATAAAGCAATGCTAAGAAGTGAGAAACGAAGGAAGGCATGTGTTAATCAGTGAAGGTAATTCTAATGTTGTGAATGGAAGTAAAAGAAACTTAGCGATTAATCATCAATGATTGGTCAAAGTATTATAAATAGAGTAAGCAGTATGTTCAGTGGAGCAAAAGATATAAAATATGCAAGAAAACTAGAAATTTCTCACCTCCAATGTACGAAGACCCCATGTAAAGCGGCGATGAGTCGGGTTTGCGGCTTTGGATTCCCATCCCCTGTACTCATACAAGCTTGTCGATGTATAAACACATCGGGGAACTTTTTGGAATGATGACTCAAGGGGAACATTTCCACATGTGACAACCTTAGAAAAAAAAATTTAAAGGAAAGAAGGAAAGAAAAAAGAAAAAAAAAAAATCAAACTTGTTAGGACTATGGGCAATGTCCAGGTTTTGGGAATTCCAACTACAACGAGAAAAACATAATTTCAATAACATTTTATTACTAGAAAATATTAGGAATTTATAAATACAATATTCATCGTAACAATACATGAAGTAAATCATCAGAGAGTGACTTCCACAAGAATGCACATATTTTTTTACATAATACTATTTTCCATAAATTAAACAAACCATTGCATTGATTGAGTTCAAATATTCTAGTCGTTATCATTTGAAGAACCTTGGGTTCTCCATTTAATAAAGTTGTATCAGAATCATATGTGATATAAATTTTATTCATGGAGTTGCAGCAGCTCTGCAGTGTATGAACAAATATGTTATTTTACTTCCATTCACTATCCTTATACACATTTGTTGTCAGGAGCGTACTACATCATACCAATCAAAACATTTCAATACAACATCAATATTCCCATGAACCAAACACAGTTGTTTTTTACTTTTTTAGATTGTTAGAACAGTGAAATTGGATTTAAGAAAAGAACTGTATGAGACAACCATGTTTTCAGATAATATGACAATAATCTTAAAGTAAACGTACCCCGGAAACTTTGACAAATTGGCCATCCTTAGCAGTTCTCAGCTCAGCATCTGGATAACTAGCTATATAACCAGTAATAGCCCTTCTTCCCCAACAAGTGTTCCAGGTAAACACAGTGGCCACCAAAGCAAAAAGTACAACAACGGCCACAAGCAGAATAGGATTTCGGACAGCTCCAAGTATAAAACCACCAGCAATAAATCCCATGACAAATATAAGAATGATAGCCCAAAGGATCGGCCTAGGGAAGCTCTTACGGAAAGAATACTCAACATCCTGGCCAAGGTAAGTAACAGCCTGGTTTTTAACTATAGGAGCATTGTGCATCTTCATAGAGCCCATTGACTCCATCGGGCCAGATACCTTCCGAGGGGCGCCGGACGAGTTCAGCGGGCCCGATGTGATAGGCCCAGATGTAATGAGGCCAGTAGTCGGCAGAACCGGTGGGAGAGGGCCGGAATTCTGGCGAGAAACGGCGGTCCCACCTCCCTGTGGGCCTGAAGATTTCTTCAATGGCTCGCCATGTTTATTGAGTGGACCCGAATTCGTCTTCTTCATTGAGGCTGACCCAACAGCCGGGCCACGACCCACGGAGTTCAATTGGCCTGAGTTAGAATGGGCACCACCAAAAGAGCCCGTCCTTGAGGGAGCACCGGTTATGGGCCCGGATTTTCGGGATCTTGATCCATCTGTAGGAATATCAAACATTTTACCAAGTTCACCGGATTTTTTTATATCACCGCCAGTGTAAGGCATCGCCACAGAGCTCATTGTTGGAGTCTTCTCTTTTGGCTGTTCGGGCCTGCCCGACACATAAAGGCCACTGCTCAACTTATGAGAGGGAAATCGAGAACCCATTTCGCAAAGCTTAATTTTTTTCAATTTTCCAAAGAACCCAGAAATCAAAGAAACAACTGTAGACAACAGTATCCACCAAGAAGACCAATTCAAAGTATGGAGCTCAGAAGTTCAGCAAAGCACGATGAGATCCACAGGATACGGAACCTAGAAAATGAAATGGAGAAAAGGGACAGAATCGAGGGGTTAAATGTATATTTGTAATCACTTCAAAATTAAATCTCAAACCACCCTTTAATAAAAACATCATTAGCCAGCTAAAGCATATGTCACGTGTTGGAAACGCATCTAATGCGCCAACTCACTCCAACCCAAAATACCCCACAGGGTAAGCATTTATTTCCTTTACAATGTGTCTGGATATCCTTCCAGCAAACAAATCTACGGATATAGGATATAGGAAATCCAAACCACACACGCACCAACTGTAAATCGAGTAGTGAGCATCCAAAGCAATTTTAGCAATTTGAAGAATAAATCACCAAAAGGAGCCGTCTGCTAATACTTTCGACGTGTAAAATTCAAGCAACGCTTCTCGGCCGAACAAGTAACAAAACCCACCCCTACATTTATCTAGAAATGCAAGACATCTAACGTTTCCACATAGTATATCCTGTACATTTGAGCTGGACACACTAAACTTTAAACTCCCAAACGGAAAACAGTACTGCGTAAATCCCAGATCTGAGAATGACCCCCTTTCAGATACACTGATTAAACTCCGAGAATGACATAAAATTCCACGAAGCAATCAACAGTAAAAATCTCGCCTGTAAATACTAACAAGAACAGCTAAAATCGAGCCTCACACCGTTTAGTTAAATGGGAACTTCACAGATCTAAAAAGAAATCAGCCGTGCAGAATAACGTGAACAAATCAAAATCGAAACTTGACATTAATGCTTCGAGAAGAAAAGGAAAGGATCCATATTAGGTACTAAGGAAAAAAAAAAAAACCCAGAAATAAAAACGATTCACAACTACGAAATAAAGAGCCCAACAAAATTTGAACTCAATGCGCCATGCGACGAAATCAAACAAGTCAATGAACCCACATTTCTACTGCCCCCAATATGCAGAAAAAAAAAAAAAAAAAGAGAAAGATCACAAAACCCACATCAAAAAGAAACAAAAATTCCAACATAAAAACACAAATAAAATCAGACCTGAAAACCTAATTGAGTTGATTATACCGAGGAGTGGAGGCATGTAGAGAGGATCAGAAAGCCTTGAGAGGTTCTTGCTGAGCAAACAAAATAGAAGAAAAAGGGAAAAGTTGAGGACTTTAGATTCGATTTTCCGCAAGAAAATGAGTGAAAAAAAAAAGGAGAAAAAAAAAGTGAAACTGAAACACACACTTCACCTTCCCTCTGCTTTTTTTTTTTTTTTTTTTTTTTTTTTTTTTTTTT